GTCGGGGGCAGCTGGGCTTGCGGCAGGAAGGGGGGAAACCGGTGGCCCTACAGCTTTCCTTTCGTTTTCTGCTAAAAGAGAGGCATTTAGGTCGGACATCAGAAGCAGGTTTAATGCTTTTTTTTCGTCTGACAAATACGGTTGTGCCCCGGTTGCTCGCGTGCCGAGGGGGTGAACCCGCCTCTCCGGGCCTTCCTCCCAGGAGCAGGGCAAGGCAGGCTTCGGTGCGACTCAAACCTGCCGCTTTGTCCTCTGTACTGGAGGTGGATTTCTTTGTGTTAAAACTTTTTAAATGGCGTGGGTGACGTTCTTGGTTAGTGCCAGGTGAGCAGAGAGAGGGATGAGCAAGTTATTGATGTATGGCTTGATGCGGCATGTAGAGCGTGCCAGGTTTTACATATCAACACTTGCAGCACAGCTAGAGGTGAAGGAACTCTGGGAAGTCACAGTGTGTCATACAGAGCATGGAAACTTTTATGTATCAAAGCCAAAACCAGAGCTGCTGGAAGTGGAATGCTGGGAAGTCACCATGTGAAAACACTTTGGAATCTGTCTCTGCTGGTAGATGTGCTGAAACAAGCTTGCTTGGCCATCTCTGTTGGAGCACGTGAGCATCGGCTTCCTTTAATTGGCTCCTACTTTAGACTGTACGTATCTTAATGCCTGTAAAAGTAAACGCTTCACTGAGTCAGGTCTGTGCTGGTCTGGTTTGAGTACTGGAAAGTTTTCAACAAATGCAGAGTACATACAAAAAAAAGCTGATGAAAACGTGTGGTAAAATCTAAATGCAGTTGAGATGCAAAGATTCTGCAATGGAAGTAAGTGATACTGACGGTTTTTGAAAGCACTTTGTATTTCTGCTAAGCTATAGTAGTTGCCCAATTTCAGTTTGAAGAGCTTAGTTCCTAACATTTATATCAGAAGATTGTTTATCTGGTCAAGGTCATAAAGTACATAGCCAGGGATTGTGAGGACAGCAATATTAAGAGCTGAACTAAGGCAGCTTTCCCTGTGTTTTGTTGTAATAGTGGTTCTCATGTTGTGATAATAGTGTACGTGATGAAGTACTGCTTTAATAGTAGGTGCACGAGTGCCCAACTAGCAATTTGACGTAGGTGGCAGTCAGTAACTAGTTAATGATCATTAGTACTGCTTGAGAGATTCATACTTAAAATGTCACGCTATGCAGTATGAAATGACAGGAGAAATGCAAGGCTCACTGCTTTTGCTAACTAACTATTCAAGCCTAATTAACTAGTGCTTTTTCTTGTTCCCTCCCATACAGAAGGGGCCCTCACAGGTTGCTCCAGTTCACGTTGTCAGTGAAGAGTCAGCTGACAAGACTAATCTGGGCTTTATTCATGCATTTGTGGCTGCTATATCAGTCATCATCGTGTCAGAACTGGGCGATAAGACCTTCTTCATTGCAGCCATCATGGCAATGCGCTACAACCGTTTGACTGTACTGGCTGGTGCTATGCTTGCCTTGGGACTGATGACATGTTTATCAGGTTAGTATTCTTTTCTTTTTGTTGCATCCCTTAAATTATGCTAGGTATGTATTTATCAATAAGTCTCAATTGAAATGAAATGAAGGTAGAAGGTATAGACAGTTTTGTTTTGAGGAGTGTGTGAAGGTTTTACTGGGGACAGTGGCTCACATTGAATATTTAGCCTCTTGCCTGTAATGAGGTGTTTGTGCTCTCTAGATCTCACTAGGACTTTAAGGAAGAAGAATGGGATTGGGAGTCTAAGAGCATCCTTTGATTTTTGGGCAGCTATTTTCCTTTTTATTTCCTGTTAAGCTGGCATGCCTGATGGAATGTGGGAGTGACATCTCTTTTAACCCCTAAGGGGAAGGATTTTTTTATATGGTGATAAATCTGACTTGAATCTTGGTATTTGTAGCTGTTTGGATTTGTGCTGGGAGCTGGGCAAGTGGAAGATGGCATTGTGCTGTGATCCTTTGGGATGTGGTACAGACAGAGCCAAGAGCTAGGGGAAGGGAGTGAGGTGTTAGGTGGCACCTGAGGAGCTTGTAGCTGTGGGTGCTTAGGTAGCCGTGATGGTAAAATGGAGCTGCCTTCAGGTGTATCAGATGCAGCATAAATTTTTTTGTAGGTGAGCTAATTTCTTACCATGCCCATTTAAAAAATAGTGTTAATTAGTATACATGCACTGGCGAGAGGTGATTAACTGGCTTCAGACTTCTTAGCAAGCTGTGTCTGGAAGCTCCTGGGGTTTTTGTCCACCTTGATTTCATGGAAAACACACTTAGACTCACTAGCTCCCTCCAAATAATCACTACCTGGGGGGTTTTTACAAGCTGTGCTTGACAAAAGAAGCTGCCTTACTGTTCAGATTATCTCATTGTATGCTTGTATATGCAAGTAATGCTAAAAAAAATAGGAACTTTGGGTATAGTTTCTTGCATTGATTTACTGTAGTATTTTCAGTCTTTAAGAAGTTTAGTTTAACTCCTTTTGTATTACTTAGCTGCACAATTAGTGCTATTATTCATCAACATATGTGCCGTATCTACTGGTAGTAGATCATGATTAATTTTGGTCTCATAGTCTTGCATTTGGTAGTGGCAGTGCATATTAATTTCTAGACTGAGTGAGTTTTTCAGCTAAGGAAGTGCGTGCAAGAAAATACACGTGGTAATGTGCTGCCTTTTAGCTCATAGCATGTGGAGTAAAACAGCAAACAATTGTGAGTGCATAGTCCAAGCAGCCTTGAATGTTAGGTGTGGAGTTTTAATTTCATCTCACTTATACAGGCTTTTTTTTTTTTTTTCCAAAAATGCTAACTAGTCTTACTACCTTCTAGATACGTATTCCTTCTTATTTGAGAACTCACATTGGCTTAGTTTGATGGCCTTCAATACTTGAAAAAGTAAATACACTGTGGAGATAGCTTTCAGGTCTTTGAGTGGGATCAGTGCTTTTATATTAAAGAAGATCAAAGTTGGTCATGTTATGTGTTTGTGGAGAATGTGGGAGGGAAAGAAATAGTAACGTGCAGATATTTGCACTTGGCAAAAGAAGACAGACTTTCTACATGATTAACTTGTAGAAAATTGTATTCTAACTTTAGCTGATGAAGGAGATTATTGGAAAGGGATACTATCCAACATGTAGTGATAAACAAAAATTGAATTAACTGATATACACCATGACTAGTCTAACATGATTACAGTTTATAGTTTCATGGTATGTTTGGAAAAAGGTAGGCCTTGCATAGTCCTTGATGGGAAAGATAATGTTGCTTGGGCTGGCTCTAGGGAATAGCAACATATCAAGTTTGCCTGGTGTGCCTTATCTGTATATTGGTAGACTTCAGTCTCTGGTATAAGCAGTAATGCTTGGAGCTTCTAGAATGTCATTATCTTGCAAAAAAAAAAACCCAACGAACAACAACCTAGGAAAACTAAAGACACAACACTTATTTAATGGTGGGCATTTGAATCAGAGACTTTGCTAGTGAGAATCTCCTAGATGTGGGAAGGAAAACAATTATGATCCTTGTGCTTATTTTTTTAAGTGGTGCATTTGTTTTCTTTTCAGTTTTGTTTGGCTATGCCACCACAGTTATTCCTCGTGTTTACACCTATTATGTGTCAACGGCACTGTTTGCGATTTTTGGCGTCCGAATGCTTCGAGAAGGCTTGAAAATGAGTCCGGATGAGGGTCAGGAGGAGCTGGAGGAAGTTCAAGCAGAAATTAAAAAAAAAGATGAGGAAGTAAGTCATAAACTTCCCGTGAATTAAGGCTGGTGAAATAGTCATAAAGCTGCAGAATAGCGCTGTCATGTTTGGGGTGTTCAGCTGTGTCTGTCACTAATAATCTGACACACAAAATCTGGCTCCTGGAGGCTACTTCAACAGGTCACTGCAGTTCTATGGAAAGTCTTTCTTCTTTTTTTAGTGCATTACTGGAAGAGAGGACATGAACAGTTTACTCTTGCCTCTACTTTTATTTCTTTTTGTGATCAGGCAGAATAATGCTGAAGTTTTTTGTGTTGCAGCAAAGGTTTCTGTTAAAGTACCTTTCTAAATTAACTGGACTACTTCTAAGGAGTACTGTGGAGTATTAAATCTTTTTTAAGTTGGTTTTTTTTTCATTAATTTTGTCAAATCCTAAGTTGAGAGACACCACTTGGGGATCCCTGATTTAAAAATAGGAGGAAATTTGTGGTTAGAAACCAGGTGTCATTCCTACTGAAGCTGTTTGGAAGTGCAAGAAGTACAAGATTAATAATAACTGGAGGTTAGAGGTGATTACAAGTGTATGTATGTGTATATGTGTACACACTCGTGTGTGTGCATGTATGTAGCTAGTTTTTTAAATGATGTCTAATATAAATAATACATTGATAATGCAGCAGTCAGTGGCTAATAACATTCCAGGTACTAAAATGGCTAGCTTTACAGATTAAGTATTTCACTTGCATTGTTTAGATGACATTTCTAATCTTATGTTTGGTTGTTTTGTGTTCTCCTTGTCCTCTGCAGCTTCAGAGAACTAAACTGTTAAATGGGCCAGGAGATGTGGAATCAGGGCCAGGCACCACTATACCTCAGAAGAAGTGGCTGCATTTTATTTCTCCAATCTTTGTTCAAGCTTTTACTTTAACATTTTTAGCAGAATGGGGTGATCGTTCCCAGTTAACAACCATAGTTTTGGCTGCCAGAGAGGTGAGTGTTGCAGAATGTCTGCTGTGCTTCTGCTCTCTTTGGGTTGTCCACAGAGAGGTGGGACGGGCAAAACAGTCTTGCAGGAAGCATGGAATTCACACCTGCTGCTCTGCTATGCCCTACTTGGGTCTTGGGACAGATGTAGCATTGAAAATAAATGCACTGAAGTTCTGTGTAGTATGAAAACTATTGTTATATGATTGGAACTGTAGAGGCATTTCTGAAAGTAGTTCACTTGTATCATGCAGCTGAATACAATTGGGTTTTGTTACAGTGTTGCGATATGTTATAGAAAAGATGCTTCTTTGATCTTTTTGGTCATACAATTTTAACATAGTAGCTTTAAAAAGAGAGCTTCATCCCAGCAAACTTAAAGCTGTTAAAATGATACCTCTTTTTAAAAATCTAATTGAACGTGTACAGTGTCTAGAACAAAATTAAACCTTAAACTGCTGTGCAGTAAGTAAAACTAAATGAAATGATATTCAGTAACATGATTGGAATGTATATAACTATTTAAGAAAATTAAAGCTTACAATCAACCTTTTAAAATACCTGAGTAATTTGCCTGTAGTCTTTTGTGCATTGAAGTAGCTTATATTTTTCCCTAGGACTCCTACTTCTTTCAGTGCACTTTCAGGCCTCCCTAGGGATAAATCAAGGCTGAATAATGAAGGAGACTATAGTCTGTAGGAACCTCTTGGGTCTACTACAGTGTAGAGAAGGTGCTTAGAGCTCACGAGGCAGGATGATGAGCTCGTTGTTCAGGCAGTTACATGCCATTGAGGAAAGCTGGGAATCATGACTGCCTCTACCCAAGTCTATATAGTGATAGGCAAGTTGCTTAAGCCTATCTTTTCAGAGGTGGTTGTTGACGTCTGCTCTGCATTTTCTGGGTGTCCCATTGGGAAGTGTTCATCAGACTCAGTGGTTTGGTTTGTGAAGTGCTAAGCATTGCAACTGAAGGCTGCTGTGCCTTTAGCATAGGAAATGTTGGTGTAAGTGCTACAAAAACAAATACTACAAAAATTGAATATATCTTGATCTCGGCTTTCAAAATCAGTAGGTGATTATGAGTGTCTCTTTTCATTTTATCTGTGGGATTGTTTTATATCACTTTGTTCCATAATACATTCAGATAAATCCTTGTCTGCAAAGTATTAAGGCTTAGCAGGAACATCACAGAAATATTTATGAGGAAATAATTTGTGGAGATAATTTGTGGAAATAATATGTGAAGTTTTGAGCAGTACAGTAAGTCAAATGTGACAATACATTCTTCAGTAAAAATTAAACAAAATAATATGAGACTGTTCATGAAGCAAATAGTGTCCATCCTGTCACAACAAACAAATGGGGCTCCTTTGGAGGAAAAAAGGGTTGATAATTTGGCTGTCTCAATGCATCTACCATAGGAATGAGTTGAATTGTCTACATGAACCTGGGCTTAAAAACAGTCCCTAAGAAGCTGATTTTACACCTTGATAGTTGACTGTGTATAAGAATTGCGTGTGGGTTTAAGGAAACAGAAGAGGAAACTGTCATGTCCTGCTAGACTAGCTTTGTCTAAGCTGCTGGTGAGGGAAGTGGGGAATGGGTTGAGGGGTGAAATCCACCCTCTGCCAATGGGGGCTGTACAGGCAACTGCTAATGGCAGGGAGAGAGGGATTTTCAGGAATTTTGGATCCTGATGCCAAGTGTGTTCTGCTGGCACAGCCCTGCCTCTGACCTGTGTTTCTTGGTGGTTTCCTAGCTGTTCTCTGCTTGCTGCTCAACACCTTTTCTCACTGACTTGTGGTTTTGGTTCTTTTGGCAGTCAGTGTTGTCTTTCTTTCATACCATATAATTTCTCAGACATTTCCGCTGTTTGCCTGTTAGAGATTGCATGTGTTCCTTCTGTGACAGCAGCAGCTTTTTTTTCCTCTCAGAGCTAGAAGTCTCACTTAGAGATGTGCAGGGGACTCAACTCTGCTTTCCCTCATCTTTGTACAGCTGAAGGTCATGCTCCTACATTGCCTTTGTTATCAGTCATTTAAAGATTGTTTTCTCTTTCTGATGCTGAAGTCTTATGTTTTATGAGGTGTTCAACACATCTGCTGCCCATAGCTATGTGATTTGGAAATGGATCTGAGAAATCTCTTCACATAGTAGAGCTGTTCACCTGTTCAGTAGCTGCATGTTATGCAGTGGTGTGAAAGCTGCTGTTAACCATAAACTTTGGAAACAGTTTATTATTCTGTGAACTTGAATTCTTTCAATACTTGCCTCTTTGGATGACTGGAGAGGGCCAGAGTGTAGAGTACAACCTTGTGAAGCTGGAAAAAGAAGTAAGAATGTTTTAGCTTTCATTTGCAGTACATGGTTTTATTTTTCTCTTTCTTTATAATTGCGTTTATGTTTTTCCAGCTGACGCATATTGTATTTTTCAACAGCTGCCCCCTTCCCTCTAGGGGTTGCTTAATTGTTTAAGTACAGCAGAACAATTTCTGGATCTGTATTTAATAACTTGAAGATTCTTCTTAATTGAAACATGCCATATGCTCCTGTATTAGTCACATTTGAGATTTAAGTCTGTCTCAGTAGCTGATGTACATCATTACTGGACTTGAGGGCAGTTAAGGGTGGCAGAGCAAACACCAGAGAGTATCATCCATGCTTGACAGGGTGCATCCAGGGAATTGAGGCATTGCTCCTTCACGAACAAGGCAGGAGGTTGTCATAGGACTAATAGGTTTTCAACTGTGCTGATGTTTCTCCTCTGTTTTTTTTTCCTCAGGACCCCTATGGTGTGGCAGTAGGAGGAACAGTGGGGCATTGTCTATGCACTGGTTTAGCAGTTATTGGAGGGAGAATGATAGCACAAAAAATTTCTGTTAGGACTGGTAAGTGAAAACTTACTCCAATTAAAAAGTGCATTAATGGAAAGTGCTTGTGGTATAAATCACGATGTGCTTGGAAACAGTGTTTCTCAAAAAGCCCCCAATTTATTTTTTTTTTTAGTCTGTGTCTTCCATCCCTCCTCCCCACGCAAGCCCACAGTCAGCTCCCCTCACAGTGGGTTGACCCTGTGCTGTTTGCTGGGCTGCAAGTTTCTCCTGCCATGTAGAGTCTGAGCACATGCCACCACCCTGTGCTAAGGGATCTGGCCTTGATTGAACCTGACTGTTTACTGCTTGATCTAAGGAATCAGAAGGGGTGTGATAGTTCCTGGCTAAAGATGGAAACAACTGAAGCATGTTTGGCTTCACTATTTGCTAGTTGGTAAGGTATCAGAGGAAGGAAATACAGTATTTTGACTTGTTGGTCTATATTGGCAGTAGATAATAGAAGTCGTTGCAGTTGCACAGACCCCCAGGTGAGCAAGAGAGCTGCATACTTACAAGTTATGCCAGCCATGTGAAAGCTACTCTGCATGGCCTGTGTTTTTTATCATACCTGCTATCTGTAACAGGAAGGGCCAGTAAGTTTACATAAGGTTGTTTGTTTTTCCTTAGATTAGGTTGCAGCTTGCTTCAGATGCTAATCCTGTGATGTAGTGAGACTTCTTGCTCCCAGGAAGGATTCTGTGAAGCTGCTTCCTAGTTTGTTCAGGATATTTGTTCCGTAGTTGCGGAGGCTGTGAAATGCGCATTCTGTCCTGGTTGTTTGCCAAGGAAATTGGTGACAAAATGCTAATCTAACAATGGTTTATTATGCTCTTAATAAGCTTAATGTGGATTTCTGACCACAGCAATAGCCGTACTATGTTAGACCAAAGATCCATCTAGCCCATTAGCTTGTTTAGAGAAGAGTGGCATGGTCTTTGTACAGTGGTGCTTTCCCAGAATGTTGGCCCAGCCTATAGCAGATTGTGGCTGTTGCAGGCTGTTAGTGTTTTCGATATTGTGTCTTTCGGTGTAGTCACTTTGACTGTAGAAAAAATACTAATTACTGTGTCACTCTTAACAGATGGCTTGCTCCAGCATGAGAATGTTGTACTTTATTTCCCCCATGCAGCCAAGTATTCAGCAGCAGACATCAACCTCAATTTTATACTATCTAAAGTAATAAATAAAACAAAGCTTCCTTCAAAGGACCAGAATATATTCTTGTAGATGCAGTTACACAGTGGGATGTAATATTGGCATCCTGACACTGAGCCAGCAACAACCTCCAGTGCTCGCAGCATGCATTTTAAATTGAGGTTATTTGGCAGTCAGACATTTTTTTAAAATAACATCTATATGTGTCATGGAAGATATTTAACTTTCAGTACCTAATTTCTCTTTGGTTTGTGTTTTCTTTTCAGTGACAATCATAGGAGGCATTGTCTTCTTAGCATTTGCATTTTCTGCACTATTTATAAGTCCAGACTCTGGTTTTTAAAATTTTTCAACCCTGCAAAAGAATAAGGAACAGAAGCATCAAGCAGCTCTTCTTCTGCATTTTTGTATATAATGTACAGAATTATAGTTAAAGAAGCACTGAAGATGAGACACTGAACTTTTTATAGGAAATGATTCATGGGACTCACACATTTATGGACAGCTTCTGCAGTGGAGATCTGCTCTGTATCTGGTTTGTTTATTCTGTGGTGCCTCCTCCATTGGTGGGATTTGTGTGGTTTTCTTGCTTGCTGGACATGGCTCAGCTGAGTTTTGAGGGTCTACTCTGATAAATATCGAGGCTTTCTTCTTCTTCTCTTACACATGGCCACCTTTCCTGTTTCTTCAAAAGCTGATTCTGAAGGCATCTCAAAGCAGACCAGGTGTAGTTCCATGTCACTCAACAGAAGGTGTTAAGGAGAAAACTTTTGGCTCCCACCTCCAAGGAGTTCAAGTTCCAGGATGCACCCAAGGCTGTATAATCTAAGCAACAGGAAACCTGGGAGTGGTTCCAATACCATTGAGTGGCTGAGCCACCAACAGAGAGTTTTATAAACTTAATTTAGAGGGGAAACTTCTTAATCAGGGATTTTTATCAGGAAATTTACATGTGGTGATTAACAACCTACCATGTTCAATATGCAATCTGTCTGGAGCTAGTATTGACTCTTTTTTTCTTTTTTCATTTTCAAACATTTAAAGTATAAGAAAAGTGATAAAATGGTCCAGCTTAATAACGTTCCATTCCCAGGACTGAACAATAATGGAATTCTTAGATTTAGATGTGTTCCTATTTTTCTTTTTAGGAATAGAAATGTAATCTGGAAGAGTATTAATAAAACTTAGTGTCTCCATTTGAGGTTTTTTGGTATTGTATTTGATGGCTCCCATAATTCTTGCCGCAAAGGTTTACTTAGTGATGATGTACTTAAGGTGAGGAACATTTACTAAGTTTATTTTGGATACTGTTATAAATGCCAGTTATAAAGACTTTGAAAATGCTGCCTGCTGAAGATTATGTGGGTTGCAGAAATACATGCTTTTCTCTGCTCTTCTGGGATGATTTAGTTTCTGAGCTTAAATAGCCCACTAAGATCTACTCGTTAGCAGTCTTGTGAAATAGAAGTTATGTTTTCTAATGTTGTCGATCTGCCTTATTGAAGCTAAAGCAATATTCATTTGACCATTCCATTTGTAGCTCACCAACAGAGCAGTCCATAATCCTGCTCTTAGGTGTCTCTGTGCAGAAGAACCCCTAATGCCACATTTCTCCAACTCCTGAGACCGCAGCAGCACAAGGCCTGTCATACATCGGTATGAGAACAGGTCATGCTTGCAGACTCTTGGTCTAAATGTGCCTGGCCTGGAGGAAAGATGCTGTTGGCAGCAGTACTGCTAATTACTAGGTGAAGCACTGTCTTGGTTTGCCTATGAGGTAGGTGTTTTTTTTGTTTGTTGTATTTTGTTTTTAGTTTTGAACGAACCATCATAGCCAAAACCTGCAGTCTCTTCTTTGGCACAGCCTGGAAACACACGCTCAGTCCGTGTTGTGTTTCAGCTCCTGTGTGGAAGGGATTTTGAAGCAGAGGTCATGTTAAAACAGGGCAGGAACAGGGAACCCAAAACAGGGAAGAGCCTAAACTTTTGACTGTTTACTGGACAACTGCTTGTATTAATCAAGTGGTGCTGCTTGGCTACAGTATGCTAATGTGGCCTGGGTAAAGTAACAGGTGCTGTGGTGCATCCTGCTTGAAAATTCCTGCTCAAAATGTAAAAAGCTGAACCAGTTGGCCATATTGTAACAGAAGCTTTCCAAGCTTGATAAGTGCTGCTTAAAGTTGTTTTGGTATGAAAACAATGAGGATCAACAGGAAAATTATGCTATTTTATGTGTTGTTTATAGAGGAAAGTGTGAAATTGCAGAACAAATCTCTACAATGTCCTCATTTATATTTTACTATTACAAACTTACACATGACACCAAGTGCTGCTTTTGACCAGCTTCAGTACATTTAAGCAGCATTTGGCTGCTCTAGGTAGGTGAGTAGGAGTTAGTTTGAGCAGAGGTTGTTTTGGGTTTTTTTAAAGCACAAACATTGACTTACCCTTGGAAATCTATTCTAAAATCAGGTAGTTAATGAAATGTTAGTAAAAGCTTTGAAAGGTGCTTTACTAGTTGCTACTAGTTACAGTGAGTTGGGATGTAACCAAAGCCTGTTGAAGGAGACCTATTTTTAGCAGCACTGTGCCTGCTGCACTGTCTGTAGCACAAATGGTGTCTTTCCACAGCCTCTTGAAGCACTTGCACCCTGGCCATCTCTCTTGCCTCTTGGCTGGTTCAGGGGCTGGGATCAGACTTCTTTCTATTCCTAGTGCATTGCCATCAGAGAGGTGTGTACCTTGATACTTGAGATGTAGGTAGTATCTTACGGAGCGTGTGTGTGCATACGTACGCATATGTACAGAAGTATCTTACCCTTTAGGGTGTTTGTGTAAATAAAAAAATAAAACCACATGATTTTATTAGAGACTTTTATTTGCCTGTGCTTCCCCTAACGGAAGGTCTTAATTGAAGAGCTAGGTATGTTGTTGGTTAGATGAAGTGAATCTGGTGACTAGAGTTGAAACATGCTCAGGCAGAGAGCATGGCTCATTGGGGCCAAAGCACCCAGTGCAGGAGATGCTGAAGGCAGCACGTGAGAAGATGGGGACAGATGCTGCAGTGACTTTTGATGTCCTTCAAATGCAGAGAGTGAGGAGATGAACTCCAGTGTTCTGACACTTGAGATGGTGATGCACATGAGCAATAATTCCTTCCCTCCACCTCTTTCCTCACCCCATGCCCAAAGTGGAAGTTACTGATCTCTTAGTGAAATAAATTCTCTCTACTTCTCTTTATGCTAAGAGATGGAGTAGGAGCCGGGGGCATGTCTCTCTGACTGAATGAACCATGTACTACGGTAGGTTCGTGTGCTGCACCTTCATCTGACTTATTCCTTCAGGATCGTCAGAGCTGAAACGTGTTTTAACAGCAGAGTTGGGCATATGGAAATAGATTATTTTGACCTTTCAGTAGCTGCCTGTAACACTGGCTTCCTCTCTTCTTCAGCACTGCCCTGACAAGGTACTTACCAACCGTCAGGAGCATTAAGCTTGTGGGTTAAAGCACCAAGGCTGAGCAGAATCTGTGCAGGGAGGAAGGTGTAATGTTTACAGAGGTGTCCAAGAAATGATGTTGGAGCCAAGTTCTTGGGGAGGGTGGAGGGGAAAAGGGGTAAGAAATCATCTCAAGTTACTAAGACAACATACACGTCAGCCTCTGTTCAGTTTTATTAAAGTGGTCAGTAATTGTTTGCAGAATTGTCTGAGTTGATTTACTTTGGCTTTGTAAACAGGAAGCAAACAAATCAGCGAAGAAAAATACATGAGGGATGGTCAAAAGCACCAGGTGTGGGTCTATGTTAGTTGTCATGCAGAAGAACCATATTTTCCTTTGGTCCTGCAGTGGCAGTGTTTGAGCTGCTCTCCAGCAGGTCTGAGGAGTGAGCATTTGCAGGGCTAGGAGCTGCAAAATCTGGAGTTTAAGGCAGGCTTGATGCTGTGCTGCTGGGTTTTATAAATGCTTCTGTTGTGAGGCATTAAGAGTAGTGGCTTCACAGATGGTGATACTTTTGGGGAGGGAACTGGGTGCTGTATTAGCCAGCCACAGCCTGGCTTTTCAGGAACAAAATACAGAAAAAGCTTAAATAAT